CACTACACACTACACGTACACACACACACACACACACACACACACACACACACACACACACACACACACACACACACACACACACACACACACACACACACACATATTCATCATAGATATGTCGCTGCTATCAACACACTCACGCAGGTCGCTAGCGTCAGAAGCGCGTAGGTTAGAGCTGAGAACTTCCCCATGGTGCTTGTGCTTGGTCTTGTCGTCGGAGATGTGAAACCAATCGGAAATGCCCGACGCTGCAAAACAAAAGAAATTAGTGTACAGTCCCTGCTCACGTGTACAGTCCCTGCTCACGTGTACAGTCCCTGCTCACGTTTTGCGCGCCGATGTTAGAGACATAACAGCGTAACTATCGCCACAACATCATCAGCGGCATCATCATCAGCGGCATCAACAGCAGCGGCACCAGCTGCAGCGGCATCATCAGCAGCGGCACCAGAAGCAGCGGCACCAGAAGCAGCGGCATCAGAAACAGCGGCATCAGAAGCAGCAGCGACACCAGCAGCAGCGGCACCAGCTGCAGCGGCATCAGCAGCAGCGGCACCAGCTGCAGCGGCACCAGCAGCAGCGACACCAGCAGCAGCGACACCAGCAGCAGCGGTACCAGCAGCAGCGGCATCAGAAGTAGCAGCAGCAGCAGCAGCGGCGACACCAGCAGCAGCAGCAACAGCAGCAGCGGCAACAGCAGCAGCGGCAACAGCAGCAGCGGCAACAGCAGCAGCGTCACCAGTAGCGGCACTAGAAGCAGCGACACCCAGCAGCAGCAGTCGAACAGAGGTTTCGCGTTGCCATGAAAACGAGCGGCCGTAAAAAAACCGTTAGTGTTTTCACGCGGCAAAAAAGTTGCGAGCTTCAATTAATTTCGCCTAAAAACCCACTCCTGCGCAGAGCTTCAGTTCGGGGGGGGGGGTCTAAAGAGACCGCGTGCTAGCTAGCGCGGTTGTTTTCCGCGGTGTAGCTTGGGAAAGGCGAGTCACTGCGTGCAATAGCAAACGCTGCTAACAGACAGACAAACAGACGTAATACTGAGGTCAGTGGCTTATGCTCACCCACACAACTCTACCCTCCCAACAGAGACAACGTCATCATAAATATATATATATATATATATATATATATATATATGGCCGTTGATTTCAGCTTTTTCTGCAAATAAATGCTCTATAAGTCGTATCCTGTTACTTACCACTGGCACACGCAGTTCGAACACTTACCTCATTGACGTCGCACGCGACAAACAACAATGCATATTACCTTCCTAGCCTATCATTCTTAGTAGTAACAAGACTCTACCAACTTCCGAACCCGTTTTGCATCCACAAGAAGCTGATTAGCTGTTTTAAGCGCGCGAGCGACACATGCATCTGATGAACTTAGCTGAGCAGGTACCTCGCTATGAACTCGAAGCTCCTTGTTCTCGTCCACGAGCACTGAATATCAGGAATCGTGTAGAAGTCCAACGATCATAGACGCATATGCATGTATAGATGTGTACACGTATGTGTGTGTATATATATATGTATGTATGTATGTATGTATGTATGTATGTATGTATGTATGTATGTATGTATGTATGTATGTATGTATGTATGTATGTATGTATGTATGTATGTATGTATGTATGTATGTA